GTCACGACTACAGCTAGTCTAAAATGCTGGATTACTCACTGGCACAAAAAGCAGGATCATATTACGCCAAAGTTTAGCATCTCTTCATTGGCTTCCAGTTGAATTCAGAAGGCTCTATTGTGGGCTTTTAAGGCACTAATGGGCTGCTAAGATCCCTGAGATCCTCTGATCGATACCTTCTACAGGTCCCCCATTCAAAGAAAAAGCTAAAGGGGTAAATAGTCTCGTTATTGAGATCAGACGCACACCTACTTTACTGAGCTTCAAGCTTAAAACGTGTCTGTATTGATCGGCCTCAGAGATAGCTGAAGGCAGAGTTCTGTAATGTTCTGGCAATTTCGTCTTTATGCTGTTTATTTATCTTGCCTGGCATCTTTTGGGCTTATTAATGTCCTTTTAAAGGGGACCCATTTTGTGTTTTCGGTTTATTTCCTTTCCCTTTTGTGGGTTATGTTGCTTTTTGTGCTGTAAACGTCTGCAAAGTTACGAAGTCAAAGTACACGCCAGAGGGAGAGACTCTCTCCCACAGAAACCACTTTTCTCAGCCGCCTGAAACACTTTGTTGGAATTCCAACCCTTTTCCTTTGTTACAAGATGATGCAATCACGCATCACAATCCTTACTGGCTAGAGGGGCGGAACTGGTATCAGGATGCCGCTACTGCTTTCAACTGCACTGGCGGCTGACCAATCAGAGCATGCTGGGTTAACAGGGAGGGGGGCTCTAACCAAAGATTATATATACAAGGTAACCCAAAAGAGTGGATGCCTACTCATGTGAATGGAGCAAAAAGGGGTTCACTTCGTGTCTGCTTACGTCTTGTGTCTCCCGCTTTGCCCCGCCCCCATCTCGCAGGCCAACAGCAGCATCCTGTGCTGAAAGGCTGGGCAGCAGGCTGAACAACCCCCAAAACATTCTTGGTGGAGAGGTACATGAAAGGCTTTATAAGGCCAAAAGGTTCCCAAAGAAAACTTATTTATACATTTTTATTATTTTTACTAGTCTGTAAGTTTCTCTACAATGAATCATTTCACACCAAACCACTCTGAATGACTTTGTTTACATGACAACCACTGAATTATGCAGAAATGTAGAAATATTTGTGAAAATCTTTCTTAAATTTTTTTTTGTCACTTTCTTATCTATCATTTTGAGTTTCTGTCATTAAACATGGTCATTGTTGCTGGTTCTTATAACTTTTCTGATGGATATGAGTAAACAAACGATGACTTTAGCTTGGAATAATAAACAAACAAGACAAATCGGATTCAGGCAGTGTCCCAGAACTAGTTCTGACTGCCACTACAAGACTACAACTGTCACAGTGGTGGTACCCTCCAGGGTACGTCTTCAGTACCTTGAGTTAGAGAACATAACTGCACCACATTCTGTCACAGTTGTTTTTTTTTATGTCATTTTGACTCCAGGCTGATACTTCTATAAAAAAAGGGTAATAGTACAAAAAAAGAGAACGAGTACAAAAAGTTCCTTTTCTACAGGGAAAGTTAACATCAACGTACATTTGAAGCTCATGTAAGTTACAAAGTTGGACATTAAAGGAGAATTCCACCATTTTTTCTAAAATTCTGCATAATTCAATCATTGAGATGTAAGCTAATCAAAGTCATTCAGGCAGTTACTCACTCAGATTTCTTTACAGTGGTGGTGACAGGAACCAGACGTCACTATGTTTTATTTACTGTCCAAAACCACCAGTGAACCTAAACGAGTCTTCTGAGATTCATATGTGATGTTAATGATGATAAAATAGTAAATCTGAAACAATGCGTTTCCTTTGGGGACTATCTTGCCTCACAATGCCCTGCATGTTCCTCTCCACCATGAATTTAACTGAAAACAATACAGTTTAGGCCAAAACCTTCTCAAAACTGTTGTAAAACAATAAACATTTAATGGAATAACTCTCCAGAAGGGAGCTTTAAGAGTGGATGTCTGGTTCCTATCAACACCACTGTGATTTTGGCTTGGTAAGTTTCTGTAGATTGAAGCATTTCACACCAAACCACTCTGAATGACTTTTTTTTAACATCTTAATTATGCAAAATTTTGAACAATCATTGGAATTCCCCTAGGTGTAACTAACATGTACCTTAAATATCCAAATTAAAATAAAAAAGAATGAATACGAATCAAACAATGAAATATATCCAAAAGAGTCTGACCTGCATGTGCTGGTAACAGAAACCAGCAGCCTAAATGAAATGCAGTGGCTCTATTTCCAATCACAACAACCACGTTAAATGATAGTGATTTGATTTTGCTGATATGATGATGGTCTGGCAGAGGGTTTAATGAGAGATGAAGCAGAGATAAGATAATGATAAACAGACACTGTGCCCTCTTAAAAAGAGGATCTCCATGGGTTCTTTAGTAAAGGCAATGGTTCTATATGTGCATGCTTAAATATTTTTTTTGCATGGTGAAATAATTCTTCAAATTCTTCAGAATGATGGAGAACGTGTTAGGTGGAACCTTTTTGAAAATGGTACTATATATCACCAAAAAGGGTTCTGCTGTTGCTATGACGTCAAGTTTGTAGTAACAGAAAGACCTAACCATATATAGCCACAAACAACACATTCTCCATCAGCCTGAAGAACCACTTCACCATGCTTGACATCTTAACAATAGAAGAACCCTTTGTGGTGCTATAAAATGGTTCTGTATAGCACCAAAAGGGGTTCTTCTATTGTTACAAGCTTGATATCATACGAATAGTACAACGCTTTTTGGTGCTACAGAGAACCACGACATGCTTAAATGGTTCTCTGCATGGTGAAATGGTTCTTCGAATTGACGGAGACCGTGTCACATATGGTTCTATATAGAACCTTTTTTGAAACTGGTTCTGTATGGCACCAAAAAGTGTTCTGCCATTGTTTTAAGCTTGACATCACAAAAACAACAACAGAACCTTTTTGGTGCTATATAGAACCATATACAACACATTCTCCATCAATCCAAGGAACCATTTTACAACGCAAAGAAACGTATGAGCATGAAATGGTTCTATATAGCACCAAAAAGGGTTCATCTACTGTTATGATGTCAAGCTTATAACTACAGAAGAACCCTTTCTGGTGCTATACAGAACCATTTTCAAAAAAGGGTTTTCAGTACAGAACCATACAACACATTCTCCACCAATATGAAGAGCTATTTCACCATCTAAGCATGCAAAATGTTCTATATAGAACTGAGGGCTCTAAACAGAACCAATCCCAACACTAAAGAACCCTTGAAGAACCCTCTTTTTTAAGAGTGCAGGTAGGTTTCCTGTCTATGCACAAGACAGTGACTAGGCCTATGACCACTGTGGTCAACTGGTTTAATGGGTCACTATGTGGTGAACTATTTTAATGGGATATAAAGCAGCGATAATAACAAACAGACACTGTGCACTTAAAAAGATGGTTCTTCAAGGGTTCTTTTGCATCATGAAAAGGTTCTTCAGATTGATGGAGAATATGTTTTATATGGTTCTATACAGAACCTTTTTGAACAGAGTCCTATGCAGCACCATAAAGGTTCTTCTACTGTTACACGCTTGACATCGTAACAATAGCAGAACCCTTTTTTGGTGATATATATAGAACCCTTTTCAAAAAGGTTCTACATAGATGCATCTGCAACACATTCTACATCAATCTGAAGAACCATTTAGCAATGCAAAGAACCCATTAGTCATGCAAAAGGTTCTTTAAGTGTTCATGTTTCTATAAAGAACCATTTTCTTTACTAAAGAACCCTTGAAGAACCATCTTTTTTAAACGTGCACACACTTAAAAAAGGATGGTTCTTCAAGGGTTGTTCGGTAAAGAAACACTCAATGAACATGAACATTCAAAGATGCCTTTGCATGACTAAAGGGTTCTTTGCATCAAGAAAGCGTTCTTCAGATCGATGGAGAATGTGTTTTATATGGTTCTATATAGAACCTTTTTTAAAAGATTTCTAGATAGCAGCAAAAGATTTGTCTATCATTACAGTCTTGACATCGTGACCACAGAAGAACTCTTTCTGGGTGCTATATAAAACCCTTTTCAAAAAGGTTCTATATAGAACCATCTACAGCACATTCTCCATCAATCTGAAGAACAATTTAGCAATGCAAAACCCCTTTAATCATGCAAAGGGTTCTTGAAGAAGCATCTTTTTTAACTGTGTAGGTTATCTGTCTATGCAGAGCACGGCGACTATGCCCACTGTGGTCAACTGGTTTAATAGGTGACGAGCCTATGTGGTGAACTGGTTTATTGGGTGACTATGTGGTAAACTGGTTTAAAGGGGGATAAAGCAGTAATAATGATAAACAGACTGGAGGTTATCTGTCTATGCAGAGCACGGCGACTATGCCCACTGTGGTCAACTGGTTTAATGGGTGACTGGTTTAATGGGTGACTAGTCTGTGTGGTGAACTGGTTTACTGGGTGACTAGCCTATGTGGTGAACTAGTTTAAATGAGATAAAGCAGTAATAATGGTAAACAGGTTAACGTTACCAGTCTATGCAGAGCACGTTGACTATGTCCACTGTGGTCAACTGGTTTAATGGGTGACTGGTTTAATGGGTGACTAGCCTATGAGGTAAACTGGTTTAATGGGTGATAAAGCAGTGATAATGGTAAACAGACTGTAGGTTACCTGTCTATGCAGAGCACGGTGACTATGCCCACCGTGGTGAACTGGTTTAATGGGTGACTGGTTTACTGGGTGACTATGCCCACTGTGGTCAACTGGTTTAATGGGTGACTAGCCTATGAGGTGAACTGGTTTAATGGGAAATAAAGCAATGATAATGGTAAACAGACTGTAGGTTACCTGTGTATGCAGAGCACGATGACTATGCCCACTGTGGTCAACTGGTTTAATGGGTGATTAGTCTATGTGGTGAACTGGTTTACTGGGTGACTAGCCTATGAGGTGAACTGGTTTATTGGGAGATAAAGCAGTGATAATGGTAAACAGACTGTAGGTTACCTGTCTATGCAGAGCACGGTGACTATGCCCACTGTGGTGAACTGGTTGCTGACGTCGACCACCACAACGGCTTTGCACATGAAGTTCCCGAAGACCCACTGCCTGTCCCTCACCAGCTGGTGGATGTTGAAGGGCATGACGAGCAGGAAGAGCAGGTCGGCCACGGCCAGGTTCAGCACGTAGATGTCGGAGACCATCTTCTTCTTGCAGGTGGCCACGGCGTAGATGACCAGGCTGTTCGCCAGGACGCCCACCGAGCACAGCACGCCGTACACGGTGGGGAAGATGTGCATGAAGGAGGCGACGTCCATAGGGCTGAAGGAGGAGGAGGACCCCGTCCGGTTCACACAGCCCGACGAGTTCGCCCGAACTTCGCAGAAAACGTCCGACTCGTTCATTTTTCCGCGCGCTGTTTGTGTTTAAAAAGCGAGCGTAACGGAAAACGGCAGCCCAACGAACTTCCGAGGAGAAGCCAACTTCGGCGGCGGTCGCCCGTTTAGCATAGTCTGCTAACTTTTTACCGGTGTTCCGTGCGTGTATGTGTGTGTTTTTCTGTTAAACGGCGACGTGAGGGGTCGAAACGTCTGGTCATACGTGTGGAGCTCTTCTCTGCGTGTCAGCTTGTGTTGTACTTCATCTCTCAAGTCTCCACCCTTAACGGCCGGTATCAGGTACGTTATTTATTTTCCCACCAGTTTTCAGACAAGCCCCGCCCTCCCTCACTTCTGATTGGTGGAGGGGCATGCCAGTGTGAAAGACGAGCCAATCCTAGCGCGGAGGCAGGACACGACTAGCCAATCGCAGCGCGGGGTTTGTCCGAATGTGGGTGGGAAAACAAAAAAATGTCAACGCAGCTTCATGTTTAGTAATCTGTGCGGCCACTTGTTGCATAATTTATATCGAATTCGCCGTGGAGAACAACTCGTTTGTCCTTTTTTTTCTCCATGTTTTTTGCTGTTTATTGAGGGCGTATTGTTTTTTTTTATCAGTAGTAGATGGAAAAATATTTAGGATGTCTGAATGAGACTTTGAGACGTTTTGAATTTTGTTAATAGTTTAATTCTATTTAGTTAATTCGAACTATTCAATCTATTAAATGAAAAAAATTTGTACACTAATAGTGATAATGAAACAAATTATCACGGAAATAAGTATTTGCGTTTAGTGATAAAGTGTAGAGACTCTTCAAATATTAAATATAATATGTAAAATTTAAAAACGTGAGAAATATTTGTATTTTTTTTGTTTGTTTGTGAATATAATCTAATCTAATGCTGATACAAACTCAAAATCCCTCCCAGGCGGAGCATCTTTGTCAAATATTTCTTTAAATACACATTTTTCCTCTGTATCTTCTGTCATAGCATTTGACGTCCACTCCATCATCAGTCACTCGAGAGGAGAAAAGCAGAACTATTCCTGGATTACACTGACTGGACACATTATGCCTCTTCTGACCTCTACTGTGTAATGATTAACTACCATTAGAAAGAAATGGGAACACGGTGAGTAAATAAGAGTAGAACTTGATATGTGTGCTTCAGCACTCGTGCACGAGTCAGACTCTAGTTTAATATGTTTGTAGGGTCCTTTTGTTTCCAACAGAAACAGTGTTACAATTAATGTTTATATGATTTAAAAGAATTACTTTGAGCCACAGGATTAAGACCATGACTTGTAGTATTAAAGGGCCCGCATCTTACATTTGTTTCCCAGAAGTCCATTTATGACATTTGTATGTTTTTATATTCCAAAAAGTCATAATTCATTTCTACATTTTCCCACCTCTCTTTATCCCTTAGAATTAAACAGGCTGTTTTTGTAATGTTCCTTTAAGACTGATATATGTAAATGACTTCTGATGTGATTGGTTGCTCTCATTCATAAAGCAGTCCAGGCTGAAACACTCCATATCCTAGAGTTCAGTCACTGACTTTTCTGTTGTGGCTGCCTTATTTAGGACTGAATTTCTGGCTTCGCTGCTCCACATGAACATAACTAGAGATGAAAGACGGCTAAAATTACTCTCCTTACTTTGGAAGAGAAAAATGTTACCTTGACAAAGTCGATAAAATAGACTGTGATCCTTATACTGTTTCCCCTGAACTTCTGGTTCCACTTAAACTGGCGGAAATCTACCAAATCTGTGTTTTCCTGACATTTATATTTATCTCATACTCAGCCCCTCCCCCTATTCTGGAGAGTCTCTCAAAGCTTTTAAAAGCACAGAAGCCCACCAGCTCTTCACGTCAGGGTGGGTAACGGATCCCATGGTGCTGCAGAGGAGAGAGGAGAAAGAGGAGAAAAACTCTGTCATCATAGGAGGAACGACATCAGCTAATTAACACAGATGAGATCAATTCTAGCCATTAGATAACTTTAGCTAATGTTAACAGCCGAGAGATGAACAGTCGTCCCCCTAACGGAGCTGCAGACAGCCGGGATAACTTTACTTTTACTTTACTTTTCTCTGTTTCTGGAGATTTAAATGACGTTTGAATGGAGAAACATAAACGTTAAATATCAGACTGAATGTCGTGGGTCTGAAAACCACGTCGTGATTTTGTAGGTTTGCTAGTTCAGTTAGTTCAGAGTTCAGCTCCAGTCCTGAAACCCCTGCACTGCATAACTGTGGTTTCCCTGGTTAAAATACTGTATATTTTTAGCTAATTAATCCCTTCTTGAGCTGAACGAGGTGTGAACAGCAGAGAGAAACACTAAACGATACAGTGCAGCGGCTCCAAGCCTGGAGTCTGAAACACTGAATTAAAGGTCTGTGTGTCTCTCGTCGTTCTTGGCTTCTGTTGCGTCTTGCAGGTGAGTCATTCACAAAGCACAGGACATTCAAGGCGTCGCTCAGTGCAGTCACACCCTGATTCAGTCCTTAAAATGGCGTCCATTATACAGTGAGTGAACAGAGCTAAACTGCTGTCCGCCAAATAGGTGGATTTTTCTAAAAGTAACTGGTGGATGTTGATACCACGATGGACAAAGAAGCTCTGCGTTGTGTTTTTATCATGAGGATTTTATTCATATAACAGAGATAATACAGCCTTTAGTATTGGTTAGTGAGCCCCTGCTTCTCTCCTCTCCGCACCTCTCATACAAGACAAGAGTAAAAACAAGTGGTGATTAGGGATACAACAGTACAGGCCCACAGTTCAGTGTGTATCACAGTTTTTGGGCCACATTAATGGTATAATTTCAGTATCTTTATAATTTAGAAAAGTTACTTCATGCTTTAACCAAAGAACTCTTTATTATTATTATTATTTTGCTCATAAACAAATAAAACTTTCCATTCAGAAAACTGGCAGCATGACTGACTGGCCTGAGTTCTGTCTGTATTGCATGAAATCAAAGGAGTGAAAAACATTACATTATTTAAATGTGCTTCTTAGCTTTTGTGAGTGTTTTGCCTTCTCTATTATAAATACAACCCCATTTCCAAAAAGGTTGGGACGCTGTGCAAAATGTAAATAAAAACAGATTGCAATGGTGTGCAAATCAATTAAACCATATATGAAATTGAAAATAGTACAAAGACATTATATTAAATGTCTTCCAACTGCAGACTCGCTGGAGCCAAAAGGCCCTTAGCTTTTGGGTGAACACTCAGTTTGAAGTAAAGTTTCAGCCAGTGTTCGCTACATGTGTGATGCTAAATGAAAAACCCGGCGGTTAAACAAGCTTTCGCTATGACATATACTTTCCCTGCTTCAAGTTGATATTAAGGATAATTTATTTGAAGTTGTCCTTTCAGAGGTATAACAGACTCTTTTGATTGACTCAATAGAAGAGATTCAATGTCATTGCTTACAGTGACTCAGTGCTGACTGATATATTGTCTATACTGGTAAACTGAGATACGTACTATGATATTGCTATTCAATTTTAGCAAAATCTTAACAGCGGAGAACTCTCAAGGCCATATTGGCCTGATGGTTTCTGTGAAATTAAAAATTACAAAATGTCAAACTGGTACAAGGTAAAATATACAAACTCAATTCCAAAACAATTGGGACAATAGGTAAAATGTAAGTAAAAACAGAAAACACCCACACACACTCAACATCCAGAAACGCTGCTTGACTTCTCTGGGCTCGCACTCATCTGAAATGGACTGATGCACAGTGGAAACGTACTGGGGTCTGACGAGTCAACCTTTCAGATTGTTTATGGATATAATGCATGTTGTGTTCTTCATGCCAAAGAAGAATAGGACCATCCGGACTGTTAGCAGCGTAAAGTTTAAAAAAACAGCGTCTGGTAGGGGGGGTATTAGTGGGTAACTTGCACATCTGTGATAACATGTTTAATGCCAAACACATTGTGGAGCAACATATGCTGCCTGTTACACAGCATCTTTTTTCATGGGCATCCAGGCTTATTTCAACATGACCACATCAAGAAACATTCTGCATGTGTTACAACAGCATGGCTATGTAATAAGTGTGCGGGTGCTAGACTGGCCTGCCTGCAGTCCAAAACTCTAATTGAAAATGTGGGTCTTATTAAGCCCAAAATACAATACCAAAGACCCTGTACTGTTGCACAGCAGCAGTTTTAATTAGCATTTCACATACTGTCACAACCTTTTTGGAACTGGGGAATTTGGAGCTTCAAATAAAACATATGAACGTCTTTATGTCTTTAACCAGCTTTAAATGTCCGTGTTTAATTTTGAACAGCCAAAAAATGTTCATGTGAATCGCTGTTAGCTTAGCACAGGGTTTAGCAGAAAAAGCATTATTATAGAGCTGGTTGTTTTTGACATTTATGCTCAGCTTTAACAGTCACTGTTTGCCACTATATTTTAGTGATATACCAGAGAGGTAATGAGAACTATATCCATTATATCCAACTCAATAAAACTAAGCCTATTACTGAAAAACTAATATGTTTGTGTAGGAGATGTATGGGTCAATTATTGCTATCAATTAAGGTATAAGAAATTATTATTATTCTAATACACTGGGCACCAGTCCAACAGGACAAAATAGCCCCCGAGTGAGGTACACATGATAGTAACCCCATAGAGACAGTTAATAACAATAGAAACAGTAACAATTTTCTCATTATCCCAGGGAAATGAGTTCTTTTTTTAGCAATTAGAATTTCTCACACATGGGTAAAACACTTACAACGTTTAATAATAAAGCAGTTGGTTAAAAGAGAAAAGCAGGGTGGATGTGGAAAAAGGAAAAATGCATGCAAAGTGAATGTATGCTATGGATCCCTATAGGTAAAATCACAGCAGACAGTATCATTAAACCGCCTGAGATGGAAACCAGATGAAGGATTAGTTTACACATCATGAAAAGATGACATACAAGAATGATACATTTATTAGATTAGATTAGATTAGATTAGAATAGATTAGATTAGATTAAACTTTATTGTCATTGTGTAGATTACAGGTACAAGCCAATGAAATGCAGTGAGCATCTAACCAGAAGTGCAAAATACAGTATTATTTACATAGAAAGTGCAGGAAACACTGCAAAAAGTAGCATCTTGTCAAGAAAAATGATCTTAAATCTAGTCGATAAATTCAGTATTTTTCCTGTTGAGATTGCTGTAAGATTGTAAGGTTATTTAACTTATTTCCAAACATTTTTTACTTGTTTTAGTTAATTTCATTAAATAAATTTGCTTGAAACAAGCTGAACTATAAAACCTCCATGAAAAACGGACGCAAAACATCGTGTACCCTGCCCAGGAGAGGGTCACCGGGACCTACCCCTGGAGCCAGGCCTGGGGGTAGCGTCCCTCGGCGAGCGCCTGGTGGCCGGGCAGCCCACGTAACCCGGCCGGGCTCAGCCCGAAGAGGCAACGTGGGGGGACCATGTGGGCCCACCACCCGCAAGGTCCAGCATGGGGGAGTGGTGCAGTGCCGTACAGGCAGTGGGAGATTGCAGGGGGGCCCTTGGTGGCCTAGGCCCCTGCGGCAGAAACTG